CTGTGTGTGGAGCACTCTCTCTCTCCCCCTCCCCCCCTCTCCCTCTCTCTCTCTCTCTCTCTCTCTCTCTCTCATTGCCTTGCCAGCTTCATCCAATACATCAGGTTTAAGTGCTTTTCTTACCAGGATGAGGATTTTTAATCCCGCACTTCTGAACATGCTGGCTGTAGATGGTAAACCTTCACTCTTCTTATTTGCAGCCAGAAACTGAACTATTGAATCATTAACAAATATGTAATATATGAAGTACTCATACATTATTTTAAAAAAAAGACAATGAGTCATGAGTCAGTCTACACTGCGCATAGCTGGGTTTAAAGCTCTTCCAATCATATATGTGTGCGTATATAGATATATAAATTGCTAATTTAATTGCTACCATTAACAGACAAAGTCTAGTGTGTGTGGGGGGGGTTGCAGCACAAAAGCCTGCAAGAAGTAAGTTACCCTAAAAGATGTGGAAGTGGCTCATGCCCTTTTTTTCCATTTATGAATTAGTATTGATACTTTGTAAACTCAATCGATACTTAATCAATACTCCCACCACTACTGTTTGGAGGATTTTCTAACCTTGCCCTGTTTTTGGGGTGTTGTTTCCTACTGGATTGAACAGGTTAACTATGAAAATGATGAACGATGAAAAACTCCAGCATCCGCAACTCATATTTGCTGAGCTTTTAGGAGTAGTGATTTGGAATTGGATTATACTGCAAAAAAAAACTTAAATTGTAAAAAAAAATTGTCATAAAATACAACTTATTGTTATAAATAATAATGATAATAATAATAATTATTATTATTATCATCATTATCATTATTATCATCACAAAACAGTCTCTATTTCCTTTTTCTGTATGCTCCCCTCTTTTGATGTGTTTCAAAACATGATTCTTGCACATACAGTATGATCTCAACCACCACCACGTCTTATTCACACTCCTTTCTACATGCACAAGCACTGAGAATTGTGAAGGTATCCGCTTGTGTGCCTCTGGCTGCTGCACACCAGCTGCTACTGCTCCTGCAAAAATACTGCCTCTATCCACTGTCTCTGCTGCTGCTGCTGCTGCTGCTGCTGCTGCTGCTGCTGCTGCTGTTGCTGCTGTGTCCCAGGACCACATTTTACAAATCTTGTTATTTTCAGCAGTTTTTGTCTCATTTGCGTTGCAGTGTCTGTCTATCCCCTACCTCCTATGTTTCTTTTTTAATGACTGTCAAATCCTGTCCACAGTCTCAGACCATATTAAAACTGACTAATAGAATGTAGCATTTTCAATGTAGATCTTTAAAGATGGAGTCCGCAGTAATCTGGTATTTATTTTGGTATTCTATAGAGGATGTAGCCCCCCTTTATTCTCTGCAGAAGTCAGTGAGAGATGGCATATTAAACATTTTAAAAAGAAAGATAAAAGTAATACATATTTCAAAAGGCTCCCTCTAAACAGTATTCACAGATGGTAGTCAGATGATACCTCGCCTGTTTTAATTATAACAGTGGCAGTCAGTGTTGCTTTATACACATCACCCAGAAGGTGTCAGGTTGTGATTAAGGAATATAAAGACCCTAGCATATAATTCACACTCTATTTATGCTTGTTAAACTAAAACACACCAGGGTAGCACTTTCTTTCCTTTGAGGCTAAAACAATTGCACAAACCTGGTTTAATTGGGCCTTTGTGAAGTTGCTCTTCTTTCAGAGCTCCTTAGTCACATCACGCCAACACAAAACGTTCTTATCTGTAACAGAAACTTAGTTTGAGTCCAAAGGTTCTGGCTGCACTTTTTGGCTCTACTTCAAAATACCAGACTAAAAGCGTCTACCTACTGTACATTGAAAAAGAGATGGGTTTAAAATATCGATTCATCGATGAATTGAAAATCCTTTCTCCCAATTCAATATCGATTCAGCAATTTTCAGAATAGATTCAAGCCCCTTGTTTTGAAGGACGGCTTAAGTTCAGTAGAGAACACTGCCCCCTGCTGTCTGAGAGGGGCACCTACAGAGTCACTCGGTGCAGCTGCAAGGATCTTGCTGCTACGATGTTACTTGGCGATGAGTTGGTCCAGCAGTGTTAGTGGTAGTTAAAATTGCTGTGTTTATATAAGAGTTGCTGTGCCTGGTTGTATTACTTATTACTGTTATTGTTAAAATAAAGTTTCTGGAGACTTGTCTGGAAATGCACTCACTATCATGGTTGAGGTTGTATCTCGATAGTCTGGATTGGCCAATCCCAGTCATTGTTTTCACTCCATAAATGCTGAACTTTGGACTTTACCCTGCCTGTATCCACTGATGCACTGGTGTCGTTTGTGCTTCAAAGACAAAACCAGGCGTGGGCAAATTTTTTGACTTGCAGGGGGTTAGGTCAGGAGCAGATAGATGGAGCGTTCATGTGAACGTGCAAAACATGTAAAAGTCATGCATAAAGGGTAAAATTCTTTTAGCCTTTTCTACACAATTTAATGGATAAATGCAGGTATTGAAGCGAAAAAGCAGAAATATAATGATAATGTAAATTAATAATATAAAATGGACAAGTTTGGCGGGCCGCATTAAGATGTCAAACAGGCCACATGCGGCCCCCGGGGCGTAGTTAGCCCATGTCTGGATTAAACACACATAACCCATACGCTCCATCCTTTTGTCTAGGCGCAGTGGAGACGTCAGCCGCGTCACTGAGCTCTGGCCCAAAAGCTTCCAGACTTGCATGTTTTAGTGACAGAGAAATGTGGATGTGTACAGTACATTTAGGGCCTTGCCCAATATCAGTCAGTCAGTGAGCAGCTGACAAACCAGCTGCCTGTAACGGGATGCACTGAACAGATGCACTTCTGTTTATGGTGTGTTATATGCTCCCACACTTCCAGTCACCAGTTAGTGTTGAATGATTATCTCGCAATACTGAACATGTCCATATGGTATGTGCTCAGCTGATACTGAAGTATTTACAATAGTGTGTTGTGTCTTTCCTATATTAACAATGAAAACAAAAATCAAGTTTTAATGCTTGATGATTTTACAAGACTACAAAAAGATAGGTAGGTCATATGAGACCTTGAGGAAATTAGGTGCAGATATAGTCCAGCAAAGATTTGTTCTCAGCATGTGGCAATGTCAGAAGAAGTTCAAAAGTAGGCGTATGAGCACTTAGTAGTAAGTACAAATTCAGGAAAAGACAAATCACCAAATCCAGCAAGGACCTGAGTCAGCATCTAGTAGCATCAGAAGAACTCCAACAGATCAAGATCTTTAGCAAAGATTGATTACTTGATTGAGTATGTTCTGGAAATGAATTATTGCTAAGTTGAAATGTGATATTCTTTACACACAAACATAATCACAGAGTTGACAAGCACACAGAGTTTGAACATTGTTGAACATTAACACACATTACTGTTTTAGATTGTTTCCTCTTATTGGTGCATATTTTCTGTATGGCTCTAAAAATCTGCTGTAATCAAAGCTACACCAAGAATGTGGTGATTCACAGTCAGACGGCCTCAATGATAGGTGATGATGTGATGCTGTGCAATTAACACTGTGGTATTAATAGCCTCCACAAGTGAACTGCATGATAACAAGATACAGAGGAGGTGGAGGGGGATTTCTTTTTTTAGAAATTGATGACTTCAGTGTGATGAGGGAAAAAGCAGTCATCATTATATTTGGGGGTTGGTGTAAATTTAATTAATTTTAATTAATGGACAGAAATACTTCTGGACAGAAGTGAGAAACCATGGAAATTGTGCATGTTACATTCCAGTAAAAAAAAAAAATTCTTGTCAGCAGTGAGGTTGCCCTCCAAGGGCTGGTTCTAACTGGAAGACTGTATAGACTACTCTATCACATATTCATAAATATTTCTTCAATTGATTATTATTTATTCAAGTTACATTGTACATTGTGCCGTGTAATAAAAAAACACATTTTAATGTGTTTAGATTTAGCAATAGTTATGTTATATATGACCTCTTCTCATTAATATTTTGGCCTACTGCTGACTTAAAGGTGTTTCTTTTTATCTAGCACTTCTTTTTTGAAATCTTTCAGATCCTTGGACTTTGTGCCTTATGACAGACAAGAATATATTTGAAATATTATGCCCTGAATAGCAAAAATATGTTAATTACATGTAATCTAGTGCAATTACTAAGGGACTAGGAAGTAGTAAAATACAGTCTCAGGTAAATTAGTAAAATTTACCTGAAATAATTAAATAGTATTAAAAAGTATTAACTAAAATACACAAAACCCTTTAAGAAAAACAATATTTAATCATTCAATTAATTCGTTTATTTAAAAAATCACCAAATAAAATACAATTTTTAAATTTAAACTGAAAATTAATCTAAATCGGATTAATTTGACGTTCTAGTTTGGTGTGACTATGTGAAGATATACACTGCCCTCTGTCGGTTATTTGATAAAAACACAGTCTATCGTCAGCAAAAGATGTGTTTGGTGTTTGTCCAGGTATCCGGGCATGTTCAGGGAATTTAGTTTTCAATTTTTACACGTAAAACTCTAAGACTCTGGAAGTACTGTATATAGTTCCATTTTTGTAATATGTTAGAAAGGTACAGATATGGACACGTATTTACTTTGGCAAATATCTATTGGCAGACGTCTACCCTTTTTAACGTAGACTTACTGTCAGCAAACAAACAACAAAAGAAAAAAAACTGGCATTACACTGGATGCGTTTGACTGTTGTAACGTAACTTTATTGGGCGGCGGGTACGGGGGACCTATTATTCGGTCTGTTTCCCGCCAAACTGTGTCTAAGTCAGTCTATCTTTTTGCGTTTGTTCCATCTTTGCGTGTCTTCCTCTGAAACTGATGAAGTTCCTCAGTTGAGGAACGAGACGTATTTCAAGCTCCAAGAAGAAGAAGAAGAAGAAGAAGAAGAAGAAGAAGTCCTGTTGCTTGCAACTTAACTCTATTGGTCTTCCTCTGTCGTTGTGAGCCGGTCTCGACCGCGAGATGGCGTCCAGGAGATCGATTTGCCCTGTCTCCTGTAAGACAAAGCTGAGGAGGAACTCATCCTTTCTGTTCGGCTCCTGTTTCTATAGTAACCGATAGTCGGCAACATCCATCCACCAGTGGGTCCAGCCTTCACGTCTCCCTCCTCCTCCCACCACCCTCTTCCTCCCCACGGTCAATGCCCAGCGAAGATGCAGCTGCAGCTGCTGCTTCTCACATTTAAACAGTCAGCGACTAAGATGGCGACGCCGCGGCTCCTGCTTTTTTTCTTTTTCTACATCAGCTCTGGTATGTTTATATGATGTATTTAATTATAAATATATTTGTTTTATCCTTGAATTAATTCACCAGGGCAATTTTGAATAATTGCCACGTTTATCTCAACGCGGTTGCCGTGAAGTTATCCAGTCAAATATGATGACCACATTGACAACACTTTACGTTAACGTTCAGCAGATTGGACGTGAATTTTGCGTGTAGGGCTTTTTTGTGTTAAATAGCGAAATTGAAAGACCTCTGTGTCAACGTTAATATCAGTACAACGTGCTGTCATGTCCTCATATTTAAAGCATTTTGTGATGATATTCACATTGAATTTTGGGCCAGAAATTTCGAGAGAAAAAATTCGACGAACGTAGTAAAACCACGGTGCATAGCAAAAGAAAGAAGGAAAAAGTTAGTTTCA